AACATTTGACTTGAGAATAATTTATATAATATGGGTACCCCTTTTTATTTTGTTCATTTTGAAGTAATGCATTTGACCAGATCTTATTAACTTGGAAGAAATAATAATATTATATTCTATTCATCAAAGGTCCATAAGAAGCAATTGATCGAGTAATATATCTTGAGTAGATGTCACAATGAATTAATTAGAGTAATAAAAGAGGTTTTATATAGTCAACCTCAAATTTGTTGAGAGATCACTTTATTTGAAATTTTATTGATTTAAGTAATTGTTAAAGATAGGAAAATATTGTTTAGAATAATTTCCAATATATTTTTCCAATAGTGTATGATTATTTTCCTTATTAGTTGATTGTGTAATTATCACACAATCTTTCATTTTAGAATTATTTCCTTTTAGATTTATTTGTAAACATATAAATAGGGTCTTCTATATTGTAATATTCACAAGAGTTTATAATAATACAATTGTTGTAAAAGGAAAGTGTATTAGGATTTAGAGGTGAATGTCAATTATACCCCGACAGCGTTAGAAATTATTACCGTTGTATCCCTGATTCTACCCTATAAATACAAGGCTTTGATCCTTAATAAAATATACACAAATCTATCGACTTCATTCTATTCACTTCTTTTTTCTTCACTTTTATAACACGTTAACAACACGATTCCCTCAAAAATAAAGTAAATTAGTTAGAAGGTAATAATTTTTATAAGTACAATTATCTGTCATGTGTACCAAAATTAATTTGGTGGCATGTGAATTCTTTCGATATACATATGCATCATAACGAGGTTGCTTCTTCTTCTTTGCTTTTCGTTGGAATGCATATTAATTTTAATTCACATTTATACGTGTAATTTGTACACATATTAATTCATGTATTTGGATTCATACACAATCAATTTTATCACATATTATTCACGTATTAATTCTGTCTTTTGAATCTGTTACATATTAGTTCTACTTTTGATTTTTGTATGTGTGGAATTCATGTGCATGTTTAGAATCTTTTGCATGTTGATAAAAGATTTAGCCGATTTTGTTAACTTTTATGTATGGAGATTTTTTTTCCTAATACATGTTTGATAATTAATTTTTTTTATAAAAATTCATATCATGATTATATGGTAATTAAATATTTTTAGATATTCTTCTATAAACTTCAAATTAATAATTTATCATGCTGTTGCTCCAAAAGTAGCATAACATTATAATTAATATTTTAGAAGAATATTAATTATATACCTATCTATTATAAATAGTTCCTTGTTGTTCCTGAAATAGCACAACATTGTTAATATTCTAAAAGAATATTACTTGCTTATGAAAAATATGATATTACAAGTTTAATATTCCAAAATAATATTAATTCAATGCTCCTGAAAAAGCATAATTTAAATTATAGTTATTTTAAACAAATATAATGTTGATGTTCTCGAAGAAACACAACACACGTTGTATAAATATTCAAGAAGAATATTTCATTGTTACTCATATAGGACATAAATTTTATTATTTAGCTTTAAAGGTAGAATGAATTGTTAATGTCAATATTCCAGAAGAATATTGTATTTATACTCTTGAAGATTATATGTCTCGTTGTGTATCTAAAGAAATCACATTTTTTGTGAAGAAAATGTGGAACCTTTTATTAATTAAATAAGTTTTATTGAAGGATTCCTTATGACACTAAGGTAAATTTTTCTATAAATTCATCTACCATTAATTGACCAAACTTTCAAATCAATTGATTAGAGGCGGAAAAAAAGAAAAGAAAAAGAAAATCAAGAAGAGGGACAAAGCACCAGCTTGAATGTTTCAACTTGCATTAAACCTGTAAATTGAACATATATTATTTTGTTACATTATGTGTTAAATATCAATAATTGTAATGATGGTAAAGTGACCAATATCTTTAAGGAATGTAGCAGGTTCGAATAACTTTCCTTGCATTTGTTTTGATAAAAATTGTTAAAATACAAAAAATTATTGCTTTGAAGAGTTTCGAACACAAGACCTCCAATTAAATAATGAAAGGGCTAACCAACTAAATTACTAGAGATATTTGTTGTTAATATGAATTATCAAATATATAATCTAAAAATTCTATCTGTTATTAGCCAAAAAAAAAAAAAAAAAAATTTCCCTGACGAATTCGGCTAGAGTGGCCGCCCCCTAAATCCGCATCTGGCTCTATTTATCCTTTTTCTCCAAGGTTGCCCTTCTTTTTTTCTATGGTTTGGTCTCCCTTTTATTTCCGCCCAGCTCCTTGAATTCTCGTTCTAGTTTTATTCGAATTTGATTCCAATTCCACCAACTAGTTAAAAAAAGTCCAAGCCCAAATAAACTTTCATCCCTTTTCAAATTGGTTTAATATATTGAAAAATGCCAAATTTGGTATAAACTTATTTATACTCTTGAAGATTATATGTCTCGTTGTATACCTAAAGAAAGCACATTTTATAGAAACGTTTGGTAGCGACTTAAATTTTATGAAAAGATTTGGGGTGCTACAATTTATGTTTACGAAATTATGTTTGCGAATTGTGATTTATGATAAGTAATTTATGTTATGAATCCTATGATTATTGATTTGGGAGTTTATGTTTAGGAAATTAGGATAATGGAAAAAAATTAATTGAGAAGATGTTGGCCGCTCATGGCCGCTCAATTCAACCCGTGTGTACTTGGTACTTTTTTAATTGAGAATATGTTTTAGTTCATTTACATATATACTGAATAACTTTTAATATTATGTAACCAAATTTTCATAAATGATCGGACTATTACGATTGTTGACGGTCAACCTTCGCCCCTGCCCTGACTTTGATCATGGATTCGCCTCTGATGGTGTTAACATAAATTTTTTGACATTTGTATTCATGATGTTTTCATTAAAAAATGACATAGCAAGTTGTGCCACATTTTAATTAAAATATCATATACAATCATTTTCTAATATAGCAATACATCTTTGGCTAAGCTATCAATTTGCTTATAACAATTTTTTTAGATGTTAATTTATTTTGAATTGTTTTAAATGCAAATTAAAATTTGCATAACAGAGGAAGTGGCATTGTACATTATTTTTTAAGTAAAAAGCGATGTACATCATTTTTAATTAAAAAATGTCACTTTTTAATAAAAAAGTGAGATTGTCTATCACTTTTTAATTGAAAATTTTCATTTAACTTTACACAGTATTTTTATGTTTCATATAATTTTTCAATAGATCTCTACTCTGACTCTGAGGGTATTTATATAAGTTGATCAAAACTAAAAGCCCATTTCCAAAAATTCATCAAGCCCAACAACCAACTCCATAGGTTTCGTGTCTCATTAAAGGAACTAGCTCAGATTCCGTACTTGGCTAAACCTATTTAGACAAGCAAGGTTAAGGTGGCTCCTTCCACCTCTTTCTAAACGCACCCATCTCTACCTAGGCCCGATCCTGGGTGAGGCAAATAAGGCCTGAGCCTCAAACCCAATACCATAGGGGGCCTAATTTTGGCCCAGATTTTTATTTTTATTTTTCAAAACAAGTTAGTTGGCCCAAAACTAATTATCCAATAACAAAACAACAGCCCACAAATTCATTTACCCTTAAATTCCAACCTAACTTATATATCCAATATCCACAATCCACCTACCCAAAAATCCCAAAATCTGAAATACGATCCATGACCTGCTCATCATCTAAGTGTCCGTGTCGTCTCCGTTAGGCCACTCTAGTCTCCACCAGTCCGCCTCCGCCCTTTTGCTACCAGCTGCTTTGTATGCTAGTTCCCAAAATCTTTGAGAAGTCGGTCAAAGTCTGCTGATCGGTCTAATATTGGTTTATTGGGCAACTTGGCAATGGGCATCGATTGACAGAGTCACGGAATGGTAACTACACTTCTTTTGGAATTTTGAGGGGTTTCAATGGTTCATAGATTTGTAACATATCCTTCATATTTCTTAATGTTTCGGGAAATTTTAAGAGATGGTCTCATTATTTGTGCATTGTTGGACCGGGTTCTTTTAGTCTTTTGTTCTCCATAATGCTGTCTAGTTGTACTAGTGGTGGAAAATCATCTAAATTTCCAAACAAGTATAAAGAACCTATAAATTTCTCAAGTTAAATGTTAATGATCTGAACTTTGCACTAAACATTCAAGGTTTTGAAAACTAGATAGGCCCGACTGCTTCAATTCTTGTGTTTTCTAGTTCGTCCCCTTATTGCATTTTAAATTGTCATGTAAATTGGAGAAAAATCCCCAGCAGCGGCATCCTAATCACAATGTATTAATGAAGGAGATTGAAAATATGAACAAGATTAAAATGGCTCTCTTTTTCAATCACACGATGAATTTTCAAGACTTCAGAGATTATTTTTATGGGGTTTTTGCTTGATCAAAGTATGATGAGATTCCCTTTCTGTTATAGTACTGGTTCTAGTAAGTTTAAAAATATTTAACAACATTGAGAGTTTCATCGTGATCCCTTTCTAATTAGTATTTCTAGTAGATTTGGTATACTGAATACCTAATACAAAAAAAGTGTTGAAAATTGGGCTTTTAATTAATATACTGAATGTAAATTTTTTTTAGCTAATCAAGAAATTTATTACCTCGAGCAGGGAGGTCCACATAACCACACAATTGTTGGACTTGCCATTTGTTTGAAAAATGCAAAATCACGGGAGTTCGAGGCTTATCAAAATCAAGTAAATGTTGACTTATTTTGGCTAATTCATAACCCTATATAACTCCATATGTGACCATTATTTCATCTCTCAAGTAGTCTCTAATTATAGAGCTCTTGCAAGCCGCTTGATGGAGTTGGGATACACCCTGGTCTCGGGAGGCATTGATAACCATTTAGTTCTTGTGGATCTCGGGCCCTTGGTGAGTTTCTGGTATCTAATTCTATTTTATAGTTGTACACTTAAAAACTCGTAAAATGTGTCATAGTTTTTTATATCAATCAACCCTTGCCTGTTTGCATAGGGAATTGATGGTGCTAGAGTGGAGAAAATTCTTGATATGGCATCCATCACCCTCAACAAAAATTCAGTACCTGGTGAGTTCTCTGCAGCTTTGATGTCATAGACTCGTATATGCTTAAACTTTGAATTAATTGTGATGCACAAGTGTCATGTTGAACTTAAAGGTGATAAAAGTGCACTAGTACCTGGTGGAATACGCATAGGATCACCTGCTATGACTACCAGAGGTTTCGATGAAGATGAGTTTGTGTCCGTTGCAGACTTTATTCACGAGGGTGTGCAAATTACTCTAGAAGCTAAAAAGTGTGTCTCCGGCTCTAAGCTCCAAGATTATATGAAATTTGTGACATCTTTGGACTTCCCATTGATTGACCGTGTGTTGGATCTGCAAAGAAGAGTAGAGGCTTTTACTACTCGATTCCCATTTCCTGGCTTGTAACTCATATTTTTTAAGTGAACTTGGTTGTAATGTCATAGGGTAGGAGACTACCATACTTCTTTATACAAGTCGAGCATGTGATAGTTTTGAACATTGGTTTCTCGGTTTACATGCTGTAATATGTAGCCCCTGTTTGATGCCACTATATTTTTGTGAAACAAGGTTTTCTACAGTAACACATGCATTAAAACTTGTGTGCCATCAGGATCTCTGTTTTAACATGTTGTGAGAAAAAAATAAAAATAAAAATAAACTTGCAGCTTTCATTATGCATTGCGATTTTAGCTTTGAAGTTCAAAGTAATCTTGCCGACAAATCAGAAGATAAAACGTTACTTCATTTATTATTATTATTATTATTATTATTATTATTATTATTATTATTATTATTATTATTATTATTATTATTATTATTATTATTGGACCGTGCGAAGTGGATATTTCATCTTTTTAACCATGACATGAACTATTTCCCATTGTCTTCCCTTAACTGGCCTTGAATGAAATCTTGTATGACATGTTTGGTACACATTAATACGTTATTGGGTGAGTAGGACTAAACGGCATAAACTATAAAGAAATAGATTTTGTCCATGTTTAGAGGGGATTATAATAAGATTTTTAGTAAATTTTAATAAAAGTTGATTGAGGGCCTGTTTGGAAGAGATTTTGAGAATTCATTTTTTGACTGTTAGGAGAAAAGGGGAGGCTACATGTGAGAGAAGTCAAAAATTAAGGTTGAAATAGTGAAATAATGATAAAAAAAAATCAATTTTTTGGGTTGAAAAATCACTCCCAACGGTTCAAAAATTATGAGTCTTATGAAATATATAGTTAAAATTAATTTTTAATTTTGACTTATATTAAAATGTGAATCTTTATTTCTACCAAACAAGGACTTTATCTTTTTTCTTTAATAATATTTTGTAAACTCTACCAAACTATCAAGTATTGTACAACCTAAGCGTGCACTAATTTAACCACTTCCAAAACATGCAATATTTTCATGTCTCCCATTTCTAAAAATTTGTTTTCCTCCAAACACATCTTTAGTTACACATTCTCCTAATTAAATAAATTGCACATGAATTCATTAAAATTTTCTTACTCTTTAACCACTTACTATTAAAAAAAAAATCACTTCTCAAAAAATTTATTATAAAAAAAATAATACTGAGATAAAAAATGGTCACTCGAACAGTGAACTTTTGAATTTTTGTATTAAAGATTTGTTTAACTAGGGAGCAGTTGTTGAGTCATCATTGACAGATAGCCACCTCGATGAGGTGAAGCATGTGGTGGAAGAATTCAGGAAGCCATTGGTGAAGCTCGGAGGAGAAACCCTAACCATTTCTCAAGTGGCAAAGATTGCCTCTCGAGATAATGTCATCAAGGTGGAGCTGGCTAAGGCTGCTCGGGCCGACGTTAAAGCTAGCAGTGATTGAGTTATGGAGAGTGTGAATAAAAGGACTGATAGTTGTTGTGTCACAACTGGTTTTGGTGCCACTTCATATAGGAGGACCGAACAAGGTGATGTACTCTAGAAAGAACTTATTAGGTAACCAAATTTTTACCTACTTTTGCTTGTATGAATCTTGTCAGTGTTAAGCAAAGTAAATAGCAACCACTAAAATATTGAGGATCACATAGGATGTATATGCTTGTTAGTTCAATTAAACTATTTCTTGATGTACTTGTATCAATTTTATGTGTTGTGCTTCTTTATTTTGAATTTCATTTGAGGCAAGATCAGCTCAATGATCCGTTTGTATTTCATTTATTCAACTGTTTGAGCCTCTGATGTTGGCGGAAGGAATCCAAGTTATCGCAGTCCACTGTGGTACTTTTGATAGCTTGAAAAGAAACCAGATTTAGCATTGGTGCCAATTCCTAAGATGGTAGCAATGTGGTGGTGAGAACAAGTCTTTCAAAGTTGTTTTTGGCGAGAGGAGACAACGATTGGTGAACTCGACTTGGATGAAGAATGACACTTCTGATTATGTTAGTCGGCCTTTTTCTTTGCCCTATATCATCATAAATTTTAATCTTATATTATATTAACATATATGTGAGCAAACTTGCAATCTAACAATGGTAGGGAATGACAAGTAATCTCTAGTATCACCAAGGATGCTGCTTTACACAGTATTTTTTTGCTTCCAAATTTTTTTATATGATTAATGGGTTGGTTGAGTTGGTAGATGACAATGGCGGTGAATTTACTTAAAGATGCTTGATATTTTGATTGGTGTATTGTCGATGAACTGTGTAACACCACGTGCTTCATTCTCGTAATTACTATGTCTGAATAGACTATGTATTTGTAATGCCACATATGGTTTATGTAATTGATGTTTGTGCTTTCTTAATGTTTATTTAGTGTGTACTTAATAATATTATTGTTATTGGGATTAATTTAAATGAAACTAAGAGTAAAACATGGAATTTAATAGATGTCTATGATTTTATAGTTTACTATTATTACGAAAATTAATCTACATATGAATGGAAACATTCATGACTTTTTCTAATAAGTAAATTTAATATTATTTAATTTAATTAATAGAAAGTCAATATACAGGGCATTTTCTCGGCAGTGGAGCTAATTTGAAGGAGTTCTTATTTGCAAATTTACCATATATTATTTATCTAAGAATGGAAGTTAAATTTTTACTAATTTAGACTCCACACTGCATAATGAATTACAAATTGGCATCCTAGAATCGAAATCGTCCAATTCATTCCCTCCCAATCACTATTTTTTTGTTTTTAACCTTTCCATAGCTAAATTATTTTTCCTAAACTTCAATCCTACACCACACCAAAATAAGACAGATGAGAGTTATTGATGCTTGAAACTACAAAATTCTTCATGATTTTCATTAATTTTGAGGTTAGCATTCCGTATTTGTTTTATTCTAATTTATGATTTCCTTAATGATAAATATAAATGCTTTTATAATTTATTGCCTGTAAAATATAATACATATTGGACTTTTTGGAGATCTATTGGGTTCAAAGAGGCGTTCTTTATCATTCTTGACATGGAATACTTATCTTTATAACTTGACGTCCAATGTCTATATATAACATATAAAGAAAAAGAAATATAAAATGAATCCACGTGACTATGTACACGTTTTGTCGAGATTCAATTGTATGATTTTATAAGTTGAGACTTATACAAATTATCTATTGATAATGGTTAGAACATGGAGACATTCTAGTTTATATGTGCTTATATAATCTTCTAGATTAATTAATAGTGTATATTCATAATTTGTTGATATTTATTATATGGTTAGTGTGAAATGATGAAGTAAACGAACCTTAGCATATAATTTTATTTTCACACTTTCATACCACAATGTTAATTTATTGTGTGTCTATGTAATATATTGTTAAATATGTAATTGTATATCTAAGAGTTATAAATAAATATGTTAAAAAAGTGGAAAAACATAGAAAAATAAAAGGGTATTGATATTCAAGGATATGTCTATATAATTATAAAAATTAAGTACGTCAAATTTCTTATTAAATGGTAATGATTTAGGACTCTTCGGCTAGTTCATTTTGTGGATTGCTAAAACAACTCTTTGTTTTCACACATTTTATTTGTAAGCTTTATTAAGCTTCTAAAATTTTATCTCCTTGGGTGTATTCAACAAAAAATAAGTTTTTAGTTAAGTCGAATCTATCATTAAAAAATATATAATATTTGATAATATCAAACATATTCCTAATGTACCAACTTTAAGTGTACTTAACAAACTGACATCAATGAGGGACTCTCATTTTCTACTATAAGGATGTAAGGCGAATTGTAAACCTGACTTATACTTTTACGAAAGGTTTATCATGCAAAGATTTTATTATAATGATTTGGGACTCTTCGGCTAGTTCATTTTGTGGACTGCTAAAACAACTCTTTGTTTTCACACATTTTATTCGTAAGCTTTATTAAGCTTCTAAAATTTATCTCTTTAGGTGTATTCAACAAAAAAATAAATTTTTAGTTAAGTCGAATCTATCATTCAAAAATTTATAATATTTGATAATATCAAGCATATTCCTAATGTACCAGCCTTAAATGTACTTAACAAACTGACATCAATGAGGGACTCTCGTTTTCTACTCTAAGGATGGAAAGCGAATTGTAAACCTGACTTATACTTTTACGAAGGGTTTATCATGCAAAGATTTTATTATAATTATTCCATTTATTTTATCATACATCTAACATGCAAATAAATATACATCAATAATAAGAAGCGTGCAAAGATTTATTAGGTAACCGGTGAAATTAATTAAGTTAAGATTGGATAAATATATTTATTTCTTTAATTGAATTTATTTCTTTCAGAATATTTATTTCTTTAATTGACCCTTTCAAACATTAATTTTTATTTGTCACAAAAATAAAAGATTGACTTTCAAAAGGGTGCTTTTAAACTTAGGAAAATTCTCCTGAATACACTCTTAAGACTTTGGACAAAATAGTTAGTATTAAATATTATTCGTGATTATCTCGAATAACTTTTTGAGAAGTTGTTACTTTTTTGAATATTTATCATTTTTTTGAATTTTTGTCACTTTATTGAATAGCTTATGAATCTAAGTTAATATGTTAGTTAATAAAAGTGAAATATAATCACAAAAAAAAAATAATATGTAAAAAAAAAAAAAAGAAGAAGCAATTATCGTGTAAAATATCTAATGTTTTAATTGCTGTTAAATATTATTTGTCACTTTTGGAGTGTCTAACTTTTTTGAATTTGTGCCGTTTTTTAAAAGAATTTCTATCACTTTATTAAATTAATTCAACATTTAATATCATTGAAAAAGATATGAGATAGAGATGATGAGTTCACAATACATACAATTATTCGCTATCAAATGACAGGCATATGTGATATGCTGATGAAGTAGAGATGAAAATAAATTCGATGAGACAAGGATAACTTAAAAAATGACAATGAAAATATTCGATGATAGATGATTTGTATTTGACTAATAAGCTCCGATCAACAGTGATGGTGTTAACATAATTTTTTTGACATTTGCATTCATGACGTTTTCGTTAAAAAATGACAGAGCAAGTTGCGCCACCTTTTAATTAAAATGTCATATACAATCATTTTCTAATATAACAATACATCTTTGGCTAAACTATCAATTTGCTTATAACAATTTTTTTAGATGTTAATTTATTTTGAATTGTGTTAAATGCAAATTAAAATTTTTCACAATAGAGAAAGTGACATTGTACGTTACTTTTTAAATAAAAAGCGATGTACATCATTTTTAATTAAAAAAAGTCACTTTCTAATAAAAAAGTGAAATTGTATATCACTTTTTAATTGAAAATTTTCACTTAACTTTACACAGCACTTTTTTACTTTCAAAATATGTTTCATATAATTTTTCAATAGATCTCTACTCTGACTCAGAGGGTATTTATGTAAGCTATTCAAAACTAAAAGCCCATTTCCAAAAATTAGCCCCATAGGTTCCGTGTCCCATTAAAGGAACTAGCGTAGATTTCGTACTTGGCTAAACCTATTTAGGCGAGAAAGGTTAAGGTGCTCTCTTGCTTCCTCATTTGTCGGCTCCTTCCGCCTCTTTCTCAAGGTAACCATCTCTATCATACATTATTTATATCTATACACACACACAGAGCAACAATAAATGCCTAAAGAATGTTTCTTACAATGAATTAATGCTGCTTTGTAGCTTGAATTTGATGGAAATTTTGTGGGTTTATAATTCTTCTTTTTCAATTCGCATGTTGTCTTGTCGCGATGTGCATTGTTTGATGGATGAGAATATTTTTCTGAAAGAAGGAAAAGGAATTGCTGATAAAGAGTTCCAAATGAACCAGCCTCAGGCCCAAAAACAGTAGGCGGGCCTATTTTGGCCCAATATTATTTATTTATTTATTTTAAATCTTAAAAGAAGTAACCCTGTTGGCTCCTGCGAGTTCCTCGACTGCCTCCGCCTCCAAGACGCTACCAGCCAGGCAGCGACCAGGTGACGGCAAGCAGCTTTTTCTCTTCTTCTTCTTCTTCTGTTCCGGCGTTCCCTTTTCTCTTTCACGGCAGGCAGGCAGGCAGCTTCTTCTCTTCTTCGACCCTTTTTCAAATTTCAACCGGTAGCAGATTGTTTACTTGTTCTGAAATATTTATAAAAAGAAATATATGCCCTGTGTTGTGCATTGAATTGATTCAATTGAATCTGTGAAGCTCTTTGCTGTAAGTTTGACCTTTTTATTTAAATTAAGTTAAATTAGATGTTTCAATATATGTATTTTATTCATTTTGGAGTATGGCATATATAAGAATTTTGTAATTAGAAATTAGAACCCTAGTTGAGTTGAATTTTGTTACGATGGAAGAAAGGAGGGGGGAAATCAGTTGAATTGGAGAAGGCAGAACCAATTTTCGGAAATTTCATCTCTGAATTCCCTCTCTCCTCCTTTTCTGTTTAATTGTTTCTTCTCTGTAATTGCATTCTGAAATTCTAATTGAAAAATTGGGTGTGGAGAATTTCCATTGGAATCTATTTGTGTTGTTGAAATTTATGAGTTTTTGTTGAGACTTTCAGCTCATCCATTACAAAATTTTCCTACAATGTTAGAGAACTTGAGATTAAATTTGTGGTCGCATCCATTATATTTTTATGGACAATTACAGCCCTTGATTTTCTATCTCAGTCAGGTAAGCTTGACTATTTTCAAAGTTAAGTTTTAAAATTGTTTTAATCTATGTGTTCATGATGAATTTTATGGTCGAGCTATTAAGGAATTTTGTGATCACAACCCTATATGTTGGAATTTTTTGTTTAGAATTGTAGAATTTGATGTTTTAAGATTTAAATCAATTGGTCAAGTCTATTTTTACTCGAATTCATTGTCACCGGAGTTGTCTACTTTTTATGTTGAGCATAAAAACTGTGTAAGCTCAGGAAGTTATCATTGAAGTTTGAAAAGCAATTGATACAATTTTTTTCTTTTAAGTTTGAAAAGCTCAAGATTTTTTATTTCTGATTTCGTGGGATTTCTGATTAAATTGCAATTTGCATTAGGATTCTAAATTTTTGATGAATAAATTAATGCAATAGAATTGTATATTTGTGGTGGTGTTTGATGTTAAATTTTTATTTCAGGCTTGTGAGTTGGGACGATGGAATTCTCAAATGTGTGATTCCATAATTTGGTCGAAATTCTACTTCTCAGGTAAGCAATGACTTGTCCTAACTTGTTATTGAATATTTGGAAATGTTTGAAGCCTTTTTGACTTATATAATTGCGGCTTGGTCGGCTCATGTAATTTGTTATTGTAAGATCAATTGCACAGGCGCACGCAGTACCTATATTGAAAATTCTAATTGTGATGATTGAGATATTTTGTAATTGTCTTTTACATTAATCATTGGTTATTAGATATAGACTCATATATCATGCCTTCTAAATATAAGTCTGGTGCTCAAAAGAGAAAAGGGAAACGAAATGAAATTGCATTAATTGTGAGATGATTGAGATATTTGTTTCTTGTTTTAATATTAAGTTTTAAGTTAGCAATAGATAACATAATACGCAGTTGAATTTTGTATTTATGTTGATTTTTGGGGTCTGATTTTTGGACTTTGCCTTTGGCCTTGACAATTACAGGATCGGCCCTGCTTATAAAGAGTCATAATTTGCTTGAAGTAAGCAATCAAATTAATTTGATTTATTTTTTTATAATAATAAGTTAAGTGAATTATATTGGATTTACATGGGTGCAAATGAACCATAAGCCCGTTTGATTCCCATTTTTCTAAGAATTAGAATGAAAAATATAGTCGCCACAAGACCACATAAGAGATATAAAGTCAAATATAGTGGTTTGATGTGATGGATAACGGTCATATTTTTCATTTTTATGGACAAAGAATGAGAATCAAACGGGAGCTATATATATACATCTTCATTGTTTTATAAATTGTGAAAATTAGAAGAGCCGAAATTGTTTTGAACACATTTATTCAATTCTTAATAAATTGTTCACCTTCTTAAGTAGAACTTTTGCGAGTTAAACTATTCGATCTTTAACTTTTATATGAGATTAAACTTGGTGGTATGCATGTTAATGAATTGAATTAAGTCAAACTTGATGAACCAGGCTCACGGTGATTTAAGAGTTTCTTCAACAAATAGAAACTTTGATGTTCTCTATTTTCAGTTTAGGATATCTATAATGCTAGAGAGCTTGTACTTGTTACATTATTAATACGAAAAAATATAGATAGGAAAACAAAAGGAGGCTAGGGTTTATCTTATAAATTTAATGAATGAAAATACAAAGAAAAGAAACTTTAAAGGGTAATTATATTTACACCACAATTTTTATTTTTTGTGCCACATTTTAGGGGTTGTTTGAGCCCTATTTTTCTCAAAAAATGCATTTTGAAATAATGTTATGATGGAGAATGTGTGGTTAAAAATAAGTAGAAGTTTTGAATTTGCGTGTAATATTATTTTATTGAAAAATGTGTAAATGAAATAGTGTCAAATCATTGTTGAAGGGCTTAATTGCATTTTTAAGGTTTTTAATCTTTGCTCATTATAACAATTATGTCATTATAACAATTATGTCCCTAACATCTTGTTATATTTTTTGAGAATTGATTTTTTAACCTTTAGAGAGAAAGTTAAGTCCTATCGGTGAGAGAAAAATAAAAAATGACAGTTGAAATAATGAAATAACGGTCAAAATTTTGATTTTTTGGGGAGAAAAATCAATATCAAACATGCACTTAATTTTTTGTCAGATATAATTTGTGATAACATATTATAGTTAGACAACAGGTCACATCCAATACATTACTGGTCACAATAGATCACAATTGACACACTTGGTCACAAAAGGTCATAGTCAACATATTAATGGGTTATAAACTTTTAAAAATGAGTTGCAATGAATAATTCTGGCTAATTAATTTGATAATTTGCAATGAATAAATGAGTTGTGATCAACAAAAGTTTTGATTTTTTGAGCGATGTATAGTCCATGATCTATAAAAATTTTGATTCATGACCGATACATAATCTGTGATCCATAAATTTTTTGATTTGTGATTGAGTTAAGGTCAAGGTTCACTAGTCACAGGTTTGAATTCACAGACTAGACATTGTCGGAGAAGCTGCTGAGCTGCCACCGAAAGTTGCGGGAACAAGAGAGAAACTGGATTTTGTTTCTCTCTTCTTTTAGCTTTTTAATATTTTTTGAGAATTTTTCCACTGTTTTCTGGTGGAATCCTCTACCGGTGGAAACTGAACAGTTGCTACTCTGAAAGTAATGTTGGGTTTCATTGGTATTTTTAGAAGAATAAATATATATGTATAAACTATGGTTGACAAAATCTTTCACTCTCTCTCACATATTGTGTGGACCCCACATGTATTTAAAAAATGGCGGTTTGTAGTCCCCACCCCTATTGTGAGTAGTGAGTAAAAGATTGTGTAAAAAAAGTTTGTACATGTAGCATTCTATTTATAGAAAGAGAGAGTGCAGATCTAGGGTTCATATTTTTTCTCACACACATTTTTTTTAATAAAATAATATTAAGCATAAAATTAAAACTTTCTTTTTTTATTCACACTTTCTTTAAAAAAAAAAAAAAACAACTATTTCAAAATATATTTTTCTTAAAGCCCATTACAGACTAAGCCCTTGTTTGAGCCCCATTCTTTTGAAAAAAATTGCATTTTGCAATAATATTTTAACATCATTTCAACCACACATCTTTAATAAAATAATATTATACGTAAATTCAAAATTTTTCCTTATTTTTTAACTACACATTTCTAATCAATACACTATTCAAAAATTCATTATTTCTCCTGAAATGGGGCTTAAACAAGGGCTAAATAAACAAATTACTTATTTATGTTCATATTTTTCTCTCTTTAAAACAATTTTTTTTAATGTTCATGCTCATTTTTAACCACAAATTCACATAATAAAGTATCTTATAAGTAAATTCAAAAAAATTTCTATTTTTTAATCAAACATTCTAAAAAAAAAAAAAATCACAATTCAAAACAACTTTTTTTCCTAATATTGACCCTCAAACAAGGACTTTACATTCTAGTACTTTCTTTTACAGGCCAATCACTTACTAATATGAACTAGACGTCGTAACGTGCGTTACAAGAGTTTAGTAATTTTTGTTTGGGGATGGGTAAGTAGTATATATGATATTAAAACTATATATTTATTTTTCAACTGCTAATTGGGCTTGCATAATTGTATAAAAAAGTGAAAACAAAGTAAAAATTTGAAGTTTTTAAAAAAAATAGTACCTAGTATACGTTGAAAATGCATTATAGTGATTATTAGGTACCTATATATACTAGAAATACCTCGGGATTGGAAAGAAGTGTAAGGAGTGATATTGCATAAGAAGTATGAGAAAAAACTGACCACTAGAGAATGAGATTATTATTAAGTCAATAATACTTGTTGGTTGTGTTCTAATATAGGTATAATTTCAATTATTGGCTAATCGCGTGCACACGCACACACACAGAGACACTCTAAGTCGAGCATCGGATAAGTAAAGATTTATTTTTGATGTTGTTTGGATATTTCTAAAGTGTTATTTAAATTTGAACTTGAGGCATATGGTAAAAAGTTCAACGTTGAGTCAGTTGATTGTGATTTGTTTAGGTAGTAATATGTCACGTCTATGTTTTGTTTTGTTCGAGAACGAACAAATGTTTTAGTTTAGGGGTGTTCGACAAGTACAATTTATGCACTTATTCGAATCACATTACTCAATTTTTATGTCGTCAAAGTGTTAAATTTTACTTAACTTGATTTTGTTTTTTTTCTTTTTTTCTTGTGTTGGATCCTCTTCGAAACAATTGGAAAATAAAAATGATCAATTGGCTATTGAATAGAAATTTGTGAATTAAATATCACTTGAATAAAAGTGGAGGATCAAAATCAAGGAGATAATGAAGAAAAGGACTAACATGCATTACATGAAAAAATTGAGGACTTGGAAGCAAGCATTAATCTAAATGGGAATTAGAGTTAATTGGTGAACTTCTAGTTAGACCAAAAATGATTGGGGTACTTACACAAATACCCTATATTTTGGGACAGTTAAGAAAAAATATGATAAAGTAGGATTAAATGGTAATTAGATATATTTGAACGTACAAAATACGTTCAAACCTAACATCACGGGTAACAAGAAAGAACTAGTCGATATTGGAGAAAAATCAATGAAAAATAGCCAACAGTGGAAAATCAAGGGAAAATTGGAAAGAGAGAGAGAAAATCTTTCACAAATTCATTCATTAGGCAAAGGTTTGGAAAAATATCAAGGCTATTTCAACATTGAAGGCTATTTCTTTTGAACAAAATTACAGGGATATATATATATATATATATAATGCTTTTGACTCCTTGTTTAATTAGTTCCCCAATTTTGTTATTTTAAGATTGCTTAGTATTCTCTTTACGTAGATTCTGAAAGTAGCATACGGATAATTTTCTAAATCAATTTCTAAGCTTAGTGGCCACTGGAGTTTAATTAAATTAGCATTGCTACCTAACCTTGATTATTGTCAAGTTAGTATTTTCCAGCTGGTGAATGGAAAATTTTTGGCTACGAATGATTGCTTAATGTGGATGATATGGAAAAATATGAATATGAGTTTAGGGGATGTATTTTAGACGAGATAAGGTCATCTTTGTGGCTTCACTACTTTTGGGTCGTAACACTAAGGACGTATTCGAGATGTGGAGTCATTACTTTTTGGACATGAGGGGTGAGAGTTTCACTTTGATGAGGGATAATTGCTGCTTATAATAGACAATGAAGCAAACTTTTTAGGATTTTTAACTGTGATGTTTGTTAATTGAACTTGTTGATAATTTTCTTAGGATCAAATTATCATGCTTTATAGGATAATATGCACATTGTTGATTCATTTAATCTTTATTCCTTTTTTTACTTAATATTGATTGATTCTTGTGCGTTTTGGTATTTCTCATTTAGTAGACTTGAACTTGGGTTTCACAATTGAAGATGGTTTCATTTTTCTTCATTGGAAAAAGCTTCTAAGTCGAAAAATTTGCGGCCTAAAAATCTGCAATTTGCTTCGCTCAATAAATCAATATGCACATCTCACTATTTGTTGTCTTATCGGCCAAAATAATGAATTGTTATTGTCTTGTCGAACGAGAATTTGTTGAGAAGATATATGTGGATTTTATTATAGATGAATTTTATGTTTAAAATAATTTCAAATTCAGTTTTTAAAATCCTCGTTGAAAATAATTTCAAAATAGATGAATTTGACTTTTAGTATTAGATATTAATTTAGTATATTGAACTTCTTAAATTTCAGCCCATGTGCTCTAAATTTTTGGATTCGCCCCTGGTTTGTGTAACTTGAATAATTGAATTGATTGTAGAATTTGCATTATGTAACTTGATTTGTACCTTGAATAGTTGAATTGATGGTAGAATTTATTTTAATTTAAATTATGTAACTTGATTTGTAACTAGAATTTGTTATGTAACTATAATGCAGTATGTAACTTGATTTAGTTAAAACAATTTCTGAATTTAATTTGTTTTAAATTGGCTAGGTATTGGATCATGGGCATTTGATGTTTTGGTTGAGTTAGTAACACAAAAACGAGGAATCAGAGTGTAGTTCCAATATCATCTGACATAATGAAATTGCAACAAGAACCAATAGCATCTGCAATTAATAGAATGATGGCCAATCGAGCCTGGATGACTCATTTGCAGAACTCGATTCGGAACTTGGTCCTGAGTTTCGATCAGGAACTTGTTTATAATGTGTTGCACGGTTCTAAGAGCTCAGAGCACGCTCTCCAGTTCTTTCGCTGGGTTGAAAGATCTAGACTTTTTCAACACACCAAAGAAACCCATTTAAAAATCATCGAGATTTTGGGGTGAGCTTCGAAGCTCAACCACGCTAGGTGCATTTTATTGGATATGCCAAAAAAGGGTGTGGAATGGGATGAAGATTTGTGGGTTTTGTTGATTGAAGGATATGGAAAGGGGGGCATAGTTCAGGAGAGTGTGAACTTGTTTCAAAAAATGGATGAATTAGGGGTCGAAAAGACGATAAAATCATATGATACTTTATTTAAGGTGATTATGCATAGAGGTCGGTATATGATGGCCAATAGGTATTTTAATAAGATGTTGGGTGAGGGGATTGAGCCAACCACACACACTTTTAATATCATGATCTAGGGATTCTTTCTCTTAGGGAAGGTCGAGACTGCGGATAGGTATTTCGAGGATATGAAGAGTAAGGACATTTCGCCGGACGTGGTCACATATAATACATTGATTAATGGGTACCATCGGGTTAAAAAAATGGACGAGGCGGAGAAGTTCCTTGTGGAGATGAAGGGGAGGAACATCGAGCCTACAGTAATTACTTATACAACATTGATTAAAGGGTACATGTCAGTTGAGTGGGTCGATGATGCATTGAAATTGTTGAAGGAAATGAAGAGTTTTGGGATTAAACCCAATGCCGTTACATACTCAACTTTATTATCGGGACTGTGTGATGCAGGGAGGATGTTTGAGGCTCAGGGTATTTTGAAGGAGATGGTGGAGAAGTACACTGAACCTAAGGATAATGCAATCTTTACTAGGCTAATATCTAGCCAGTGTAAGGCTGGTGATTTGGATGCTGCCATGGATGTTCTAAAGGCTATGATTAGGTTGAGTGTTCCGACAGAAGTGGGGCATTATGGTATTCTAATTGAGAATTTCTGCAAGGCTGGTCAATATGATCATGCTGTTAAGTTGTTGGATAAGCTCATTGAGAAAGAGGTCATTTTGAGGCCTCAGAGTACTTTGCATATGGAGCCTAGTGCATATAACCCGACTATTGAATATCTTTGCAACAATGGCCAGACAGCAAAAGCAGAAATCCTTCTACGACAGTTGATGAAAATGGGCGTTCAAGATCCCGTTGCTTTAAATAATCTGATCTGTGGGCATGCAAAGGAAATCCTGAGCCAGTGTTTGAAATTCTTAATATCATGATTAGAAGAAATATGACTGTTATCCATCGATGCCACCAAATTTGAATTTTTATCTCTTGTGGGGCCTATAACGGTTATATTTTTCATTCTCATTCTTCCAAAAATGAGAAACAAACGGGGGCTAAATAACTATTTAATAGCTTAAGTTTTTGGATGGACTTTCAACTTCTTATAAAAGTAGATAAAGTTTCAAAATCACTCTTATGAAAATTGTCCACACATTAGGCCTTTGATGGCAAAATGAATCCGGCTGGCACATGTTGAAGAATTTTTCCCTCTCATATAGTTTAAACTTGTAGATGAAGTGATTCAACAGTTTTGCATGATTTGACTAGGGAAAATTGACACTGATCTATGTAGAATTGCATGCAGGAGTTCTACTTATAATTTCCTTTGCATGTTTGTAGGTTCTCTATGGATTTTTGAAATACTTTAGCCAATTTGATTGGAATACTTGCTGCATCAGTTTGCAAGGGCCTGTTCGTATATCATCACTTCCTGATATAGTGGGTGAGCAATGCCTTTGGGGCTTATTTTAGAGATTATTTGAATTCATCATTATTTTTCTGTCTGTCCGTCTTTGACAGCGAGACGCAATCTCACTCCCCCCTCTCACTAAGTTTTAGCTCTGTCTTTTCTTCTGTTTGCTCTCTGTTATGTGTTTATTTTTTCAATTAATTATAGCCTTCTCTTTCCTAATTTATTTGCAGTTGAGATCCCAGAAAATGAACAGAAGAACCGTATGCTAAGTGAAGAATTTTTGAAAAATTGGAAAGAGAATTTTCAAATTCATCTCGGAGCGTTGAGACGAAACCAGAAGAATTTCAGAAAATGCATCTTAATAGACCCACTGAAGGAAAACAATAACCTTGGGCGCAGTGTGAGCACAGGTGCTTTTTCTTGATTGCTCAATTTTTTAAAGATTTTTCATGCACCGGTGATATGCATTATTTGGGAGAAATAATTTGTTTGCTCATTAAGTTATCACATTTTTTAGTTTTTGGGAGGATCTACGAGAAATAGATAGATGGTTATTGGTTTTATGTTATTTCAGTTTTATCAACAATGTTAGTTCAAGCAATAATTGAAGGCACTTCAAGGAAATGTTGTTTCAGTCTTTTAGATGATAAAAGACCAACAAGGGAGGGTATTTTCTATTGGGTGATATATAGGCTTGTTCAAACAGTGTCGATCTTCCTACTTTTTTCTCTTGAGTAAGAAGTCTGAACTCTGCGGAAATTTTTAAACAGTTTGCTCTAGACATTTGAATATTAAACTAGAAAAAACTTCCTTTGGAAAAACAGTAATTTTCAAAGCCAAGCACCTTGACAACCTTTCCCTTTCATATGGTAGCATATAATGTTAATTTTGTCCTTGTCATAGCTCCTTATTTGCCCTTATGAAAGCAGAAATTTTCTAAGTTAATTCTTGCTAAAGATACAAGTGAAACACATTCTTTAAACTATGCTTGCGTTCCTCCATGCTACCAGAAATATTGTTGAAACTATTAATAATGGTAAGAGACTGTGATACCTTTAGTATTCTATAGTTCATTGATCGCATGACATATGACGTTATAGCTATAACATATTAAATGAAGAAATCTCCTATAATGAAACTATTAATAATGGTAAGAGACTGTGATACCTACAGTATTCTATTGTTCATTGATCACATGACATATGATGTTATAGCTATAACATATTAAATGAAGAAATCTCCTATAACTTACACCTACCTAAAAGATGAGAAAGTAAGTGTATCTTTAGCAAGAATTAACTTAGAAAATTTCTGCTTTCATAAGGGCAAATAAGGAGCTATGACAAGGACAAAATTAACATTATATGCTACCATATGAAAGATAAAGGTTGTCAAGGTGCTTGGCTTTGAAAATTACTATTTTTCCAAAGGAAGTTTTTTCTAGTTTAATATTCAAATGTCTAGAGCAAACCGTTTAAAAATTTCCGCAGAGTTCAGACTTCTTACTCAAGAGAAAAAAGTAGGAAGATCGACACTGTTTGAACAAGCCTATATATCACCCAATAGAAAATACCCTCCCTTGTTGGTCTTTTATCATCTAAAAGACTGAAACAACATTTCCTTGAAGTGCCTTCAATTATTGCTTGAACTAACATTGTTGATAAAATTGAAATAACATAAAACCAATAACCATCTATCTATTTCTCGTAGATCCTCCCAAAAACTAAAAAATGTGATAACTTAATGAGCAAACAAATTATTTCTCCGAAATAATGCATATCACCGGTGCATGAAAAATCTTTAAAAAATTGAGCAATCAAGAAAAAGCACCTGCGCTCACACTGCGCCCAAGGTTATTGTTTTCCTTCAGTGGGTCTATTAAGATGCATTTTCTGAAATTCTTCTGGTTTCGTCTCAACGCTCCGAGATGAATTTGAAAATTCTCTTTCCAGTTTTTCAAAAATTCTTCACTTAGCATACGGTTCTTCTGTTCATTTTCTGGGATCTCAACTGCAAATAAATCAGGAAAGAGAAGGCTATAATTAATTGAAAAAATAAACACATAACAGAGAGCAAACAGAAGAAAAGACAGAGCTAAAACTTAGTGAGAGGGGGAAGTGAGATTGCGTCTCGCTGTCAAAGACGGACAGACAGAAAAATGATGATGAATTCAAATAATCTCTAAAATAAGCCCCAAAGGCATTGCTCACCCACTATATCAGGAAGTGATGATATACGAACAGGCCCTTGCAAACTGATGCAGCAAGTATTCCAATCAAATTGGCTAAAGTATTTCAAAAATCCATAGAGAACCTACAAACATGCAAAGGATATTATAAGTAGAACTCCTGCATGCAATTCTACATAGATCAGTGTCAATTTTCCCTAGTCAAATCATGCAAAACTGTTGAATCACTTCATCTACAAGTTTAAACTATATGAGAGGGAAAAATTCTTCAACATGTGCCAGCCGGATTCATTTTGCCATCAAAGGCCTAATGTGTGGACAATTTTCATAAGCGTGATTTTGAAACTTTATCTACTTTTATAAGAAGTTGAAAGGCCATCCAAAAACTTAAGCTATTAAATAGTTAATTAGCCCCCGTTTGTTTTTCATTTTTGGAAGAATGAGAATGAAAAATATAGTCGTTATGAGCCCCACACAAGAGATAGAAATTCAAATTTGGTAGCATCGATGGATAACAGTCATATTTTTCATTTTAATGAGGAAATAATAGGAACAAACAGGGGCTATTTGCATTTTCTGTCCAACGCAAAAAATTACAAAAAACTAAAGTCATGCATGCAGTGGCACCCAAGTCGGAGTCAATATTGCATATAATAGGTAATTTACCTCTAAAGGTCTATTTAAGGATGAATGGAATATACACAGGACAAGCGTTTCCAATGCATATGTAGAAAGTAAACGGTGTTGTGATCCAAGAATATGGCTCCCATAGTAACACCAAGCTTTTACTAGAATAATGCTACGTTTGAAGAGATGATTTTTCCCAACGAGGCAATCGACCTGCATTTAGAAACGAATCCCTTGCATTTTGTAAGTGAACAAAAGCAAGACATGCAACTTTAAAACTTATTATATGTAAAATAACTTGAAATATCTTAAGGAGTGCAACACTGTTTTAAAATATTGGGCAACTTTAGGTGGAATTAATGATGAAGTAAATACATGCATTTAATCTTCTCCTGTAACATTTTATCCATCATTTGCTCTGTCATGTCAAATTTACATTTGAAATATCAAAGCCGGAGAAAATTAGTAAGCAAAATATATAGTCAGCATTCTGTATTGTCAAGGTATCAGTTCCAATACAACCAGCCAGTCTGAAGTTCAAAAGGGACTCCACATTCCTTCGCCACCATAGGTTTGGAAGCAAAAGAAAGTGACATAAAGGGTATCCAAGCACCCATGGAGCAATTTTTTTTACATTTTAAAACTAATAGGACGCATTAATTTCTACCTGCTCCAGGAAACAAAGTGCACGAAATCCACCAAACTGGTTGAAGGATATATCTACTGCAATACCCTCTACAGAGCATTTCACAATTTTATCCTACCATTAAGAAGCATAGACAATCAGTTAAGAACCTCACAATATAGTCGTAAATGTCTAAAATGTAACTAAGACCACATAATCCTTGATAAAAGGTGCAAAATATAGAAAACCAAAATGTGACTTTAATGATCAGAAGGAAAATGTAATTCAGCTGTTGAAAAAAAAAAGAAAACACTAGTAGGATGCAGTAACATGTAAGTTTGGCACATGAAAGTATCATCTGGACCTCTATAAAACTGATTGAATGTCTGATTTGAGACTACCTCAACATCGATTGATTGGGTATTCTTAACTCATACTCACCCGAGCATTTTTCAATTGTGAATTCTGAACTTCATACTCAGCATTTTCACTTTGCTCTGCCATCATTAGAAGAGAAAGAACATAATAGGGCGAAGGTTTCTTATCGTCACGACTTCTAATGACAGTCAAGTCAATATCTCCATGAGGTAAGTACGTCTTGAGTGGCATTGACCCATAGGGGAACACCTATGACATGTGAATGCCAAGTTAGCAATACTGAGCCATCGAACACTTCAGTAAGTACAAGATGGGATGAGAATTACAAGTATCAGCATAACCATATTTTTTATAAGATTCATAATCAGAACCAACATCTAGGTCAGAATGAATATATAAAAAAGCCCTTTTGGATAAATAAGGTGATTGAAAATAATATATGTGAACCTTATATTGTTTATTGAGCAAAAATTACTCCAAGTATCAGTAGAATCTTATCTAATTCATACGGGAATCTAAATGATATAAACATGGGAACATGAAAATATATAAAAATATAACAACAAAATAAAAATATGGCTTAATCTTTCCCTTGCCCTTTAATGATTGTGTATAGGCGTCTTGACATTTGAATTGGTCATTTTCATAGTCCAAATCATTTTACCAGTTTCTTGAATTCTTTTAAACGTAGTCAAAGCAAAAGAGTGAAAACAGCGCTCATACAAGCCACAACCTTCTATTATCAACAGTCAGGAACAAATAACCAGAGACCTGCAACACGTGAATGTACTCTTCTCCGTCTAAAAAGGGCCAAATAAAAGAACGTAGTCCAATCAATGATGTTATTTTCCCAGAACAGATACCTCAAAAACAATGTAATTTCCCAGAACAGATACCAAATTCCAATACACCCACCATAATACGACACCTCAAAAACAAATTTATTTTCCAAGAACATATACCAAATTCCAATACACCCACAAAAATTTACAAATTAAACATCCCATAGAACTCAGAAATATAAACCATATACCAAATTCCAATACACCCACAAAAATTTACAAATTAAACATCCCATAGAACTCAGAAATATAACCGTGCTATAATGGAAGCAGTTTTTATAGAAGGGCACAAAAAACAAAAAGAAACCTCAAGAAATTAGAAAACCTGTATTCACCTTACAGTCAAAGTTTTTGCCCAATAGCTCACTAACTTAATTAATGACTGCTTGCCGCTGCCTCTCAGAACCGAGTGTTGGATGTGTAAGAGTTATGCCCTAAATCCAATCGATTTAGGTTGTAAACACTTTTAATATATTTAATGCATTTAATTTTGGCGAAATCTATTATTTATTTAAATTAATTTCGTGATAAATAATATTAAATAATAGAGTCCGAAAATTCAAGTTTAAGTTATTTGTTAATCACAAGGAGTTGTGATTGTGAGATACAAATTACATATAATTGGATTTTGAATAAACCGTGGTCGTAAGTAATGACGAGATACGGATATCGTTAATACAGTTAGACCATCACGTGTGGTATTTCTTACTTGTGAAGTAAGTAGCTGATCTCACGAGCTAAAGTGTGGTGACACTTAAATGAACACGTGGATGTTTTGTTATAGAGCAAAATATTGGAGACCCGCTAAGAAATTCCACATGAATAACTGTCTGAGTGTCAGTGGTTAATCCCTAACGTTCGGTAATGAAATTGGTCCTACAACTTGAGGTCATCATAGTATCTTATATGAGGACAGTCATATTATGACGGGGTTGGATGTTGCTCTGCCAAGAGCCGCTAATACGACATCGTTCGGGTATGTCAAGAACCATATGAAGGTTGTGAATGATTAATAGATGATTCGTCACTCTTAGATAGTAAGAGATTGTGATCTGCATTTCGTTCAATTAAGTCAATAACGAAACCCTTGGTCAAGGTGTACATATAAGTCGAAAAGGAGTTTTCGACTCATATTGACTTAGTAGAAGAATGAAAGATATGATCGATAATCAAGATTGACACGCTTCCATATCTCGTAGTTGATCGGATCATATTGACGAAGTGATTATAATTTCATGGTAAACGAACAGTTTTAGTTTTGTCATACTATGTGACATTTTTCGTCACATGTATTGCCCTAATACATTGCTAGATGTCAATCTGGCACGACGAGTGTGAATCTGTAATAAATTAAAAGAGTGCTTAATTTATCAGTTTTGATTAGATCAAAATAATATTTCATGTCATTAGGTATCGTGGTCGGGAACCTAATGGGTCGTACACAAAAGAGAATTGATGGGTTGCAAATTTCCAATTGATTAATTTAACAATCGTTGGATAAATTAATTAATTGGATTTGTTATTTATATTCCCGAATTAATTAATTTGATTGATTAATTCACGGACCGGGTTTAATTAAATGGATTAATTAAATAATGGACCGGACCGGACCGAGCCTGTTTGGGTTCATATAAATACATGACTAGGGTTTGAGGTCTATAAGGTTTTAATTATTCTTACTGACACAAGAGAGAAAACCCTAGCAGTTGCAGTCTATTCTCTGTGTGGATTTCATTGGAGGCTGGACAATTAAACAGCTGTGAGAGGCAGATTCAAGCTGTTGGAAAGGAATAACGCGAATGAGTTTGCAAATTAAAGAAAAAGTATATTTTTTATCACAATTTTTATCTAAATACAAAGTTGAATCCTGAATAGAAATTGAAATTTGTTAAATTCCGCTGTGCATGTTTAAGTAAATTTCCAAAAGTGGTATTAGAGCCAACTTTGTATTTGTCAGGAACTGTTTTACGTGTTGATTAAATTAAATGTTGGTTTAATCATGTTCATCCCTAAATCTAGCAAATATAGTTTTATTTTTTCTTCCGAATCTGTTCAAAAAAAAAAATAAAAAATTTTTTGGATCGAGGCGCACTGCTGGCGCGCCGTGCGGTAGGCGCTGCTGCAGGGCGGTAGTGCTGCTGCAACAGCGGCACCATTGTCGCTGCTACCAGCTGGGCGGCGTCGGTGAGGCACCACCACTGGAGGAAAAAGAAAAACAATTTTTTTTTTTTTTTTTTTAGGGTTTGGTGATGGAGACGGGGCCTCTGTTGCAAATAATGTAATTAGGGGCCCCTGGTTGCAATTACGAAAATGGGGTCATTTGCAATTTTAAAATGAGGGACCTTTTCTACAAATTTTTAGTTTGGAAGGGTCTACTGTTAATTTCCAATTTGGGTCAAATTTGTAAATTGTCAAAAAGGTTTTGATTTTGGATTTTGATTTTTTTTTTAAAATGAGTTTTTAATTGGGTTTGACCCATATCCTAATTTTGACCCAGAATTAAAATTTATTTAAAATTTGACGACTTTTATATTTTGTTAAAATTAGATTTTAACTTAAATATTTAGTTTTGACCCTTAATTGAATTTTATTTTGTTTGGGAATTTTGTCCTAAATTAAAATATTAATTCAATTTTATTAGAGTTGGACTCTAAAATTATATTAATTATAATTTGTTTTCAATTAGTACCACTTCCCAATACAAATTAAAACTTAGAGTATGACTCTAATTTAATAATTAATTAAAATTTGATTTTGATTAAATTACTTCGCCCAATAGTTATGGAATTAGAGTTGGACTCTAATTCGGGATTTAGTTAAAATTTGATTTTAATTAAATAGGCCCATCGATTAAATTAATTAATTAATATGATTAATTAATTGTTTAATTATCTCGATCCCAAAATTTTTATATTAGTTTTGACGACTATAATTGCTAGATTTATGAGACATTGCATATAATATTAGATATTATACATAGAAAATATTTATGTGATGAATGTTTATGGATGATTATGGACTCGACCATATGGATGTGTTGAATGATTGATTTACTTCCTATTGTTTTTGGACTTGCGAGTCCGTTGTTATTATTGTTGTTATGGGCATGCAAGCCTTTTATTATATTGGACCTGCGAGTCCATTATTATTTTTATTATTATGGGTCTGCGAGTCCGATTTCTTTTAGGCCTGCGTGCCAACTAGTATAAGATACATATTGCAAGTTCGGCTAATTGGAGGCGCAAGAAAAGGTGGACACCATGGAGATGGTGTATTACTATTGATCCAATGTTGTACCCCTTAGGAATTGACCAACTAGTTTTCCCTTTGGTTCGGGAAAACTAGATAGAACAAGTTCATAATCATCCATACTATTACTTATATATGTATTTATTCGCATAGTAGATGTATGTTTAAATATATGTATATATATAATTACTTGATGAGACCATGCACGTTAAATCCCTCGTTAAAAATATTAAGTTAGTATTATTTGTCTTTCATCATTATAGTGAAAAACGAGAATCCTAAATCGACCTTAGCTTGTTGAATACACTCAAGACTGGTCTATTAGGGATATGTTTGACACTATGAAATATTTGATATTTCTGAATGATGGGTTTGATTTAACTAAAATTTATCTTTTGTTGAGTACATTCAAGGAGATAAGTTTTAGATGTACGTTAAGCTAACACATAAGATGTGTGAAGACAAAAGAGTTGTCAGCTTAATGATCTGGGAGTTGTATGGAGATATAATTGATAATAATATCTACCCAAATATTTTATTAGGATTTGTTGAGTACACTCAAGATCTCGATACAACGAATAGGATCCCAGCCCACTGGGAATTAATTGTGGATTCAAATAATTCATGTATGAGGGTCATGAATTTGTTTTAAACAGTGGGAACACGTTTAATTAAAAAAGTCCATATTGAATCTATGCATATGCATTATAATACATATTAATTCTATGTTTTTCGTCATTTACAGTTTTTTTGAATCATGAGTAATCATATGAATTTGAAAGGCATACTGGATGCCAACAAACTGACCTGGCCAAATTTTCTCGATTGGCACCGCAATTTGAGAATCGTTCTCAAGCATGATAAAATTGGATATGTCCTTGGGCAGTCCTTTCCAGTGGTGCTTACTGAAAATTCCACTCAGGAAGAGGTGGCTGCTTACAACAAACACAGTGATGACGATAACACTGCAGCATGTGTGATGCTTGCAGCTATGTCACCTGAGTTACAAAAGCAACATGAGGGTATGGATGCTTACACTATGATTTTTCATCTCAAGAGTTGTATGATGAACAATCACGTGTGGAGAGGTATGAGACCTCTAAACAACTATATCGGTGCAAAATGGCAGAGGGATCATCAGTCAGTGCTCATGTGCTG